ATGCTCGAGCACACGTTGATTGTTCGCATTCAAAGAGTTGGGAGTAAGTTAAGCTAATATCTAGAAGGAGAGGGGGAATTTAGAAGTGGGACGAGAACTCCCGAACTATTGCCTTGCGTAATGAGTAAATATATTCAAACGAGAGATTGAAGAGAAATAACTGATGAGATTCAATTACTTTTTTCTGCTTAGATGTCAATAGTAGTTCGATAATTGCATATAGTATATTAAATGCTCATTTCGTTTGCTTCCTACCTTCTTTATTCGTTTCCCTCTTACCCTATTCCCCATTGACTACTGAAGACCCCTTTGCTTTGGCCTCATTGGATAAAGCTAACCAATAACTGTTTTGAAAATATATAGATGTTCCTAATTCGTCATGTGGTCTTATGATTATACTTAACAAAAAAAAATGATCTGTTCATAACGGAAAAGTATCTCCACGTGGGGTCTAGCCGCAGTGCCTTCTATCCGCTGACTCCTCCTTTTCGCTTACGGTAATTGAGGCATAGGGCGAACTAACTCCAGCTTAGGCTCTTCTGTTTTCTTCTGGCTAAGCGCAAGTCGCATGGCTCAATGCAATCAGTGTCAATATATTTACTTAGAAAGACGTGCAATGCCAGGCTCCTCGTTTTTATTTGCAGTCTTAAGTCCGTGCAGAACAAAAGATGCAACTTTCTAGGTGCCTCGCTTTAAGATTCAGTTCGCTGCACGGACGCATATCCCATTGGAGCTTAGCACCAAATTCACTTTTCGAGGAGAGTCCGCCAAACTTTTTATCCGCAGAGCTTATCCACATGTGAGGAGAAGACAAATAGAACTGCGCCAGCGAGAGACACTCTTCGGCTGCGTTTATTCCAATGCATTTAATAAAGTGTTTATTTCTGTTGCAACAAATTTGCCAGCTCAATGCAGCGCGTAGGAAAAACTAGACGGCGAAAACAATCCGAGCTGAAACCTGAGCACGACACAAAGGAAAATTGCTTTTCCGCTACGCACACACACACATAGACATATAGACTGGGAAAATACCTAGCACGCTTCGTGGCGGCGGAAATATGTGGCCAACGCATCAGCAACCACACCCCCCGCCCAGACCCCGTCCGCGCCCTTGCCGTTGGAAGACAGATTGGAGCTCTGGCTATATAGCCCATCGAAGTTCGCCCGATGACGTACATCGAGGGGGGCGTATTGGGTGGGGGTGTGGCCGCATGCCCTGCCAGATTCTGGGAGCGAGCATAGTTTTATTTCAACTCACTTTTACATTTTACTTTTGTTTTCTATTTGTCTTTCGGTTCGGTTCGGGTAGCTGGAGCTGGAGCTGGAGTTGGGGCTGGACACGCTTGGCATTCGGCTTGAGTGGCACATTATTTGATGATGCTTTTCGCGATTTTTTCGCACTTGAGTGGCTGATTTTTATTAGTTGAATTCTTTACGATTCCGCCTGCGAAAGTTTCTGCAGTTTCTTGCTTCCACATTTTCTTTGGCTTACGCTTTGGCTTTGGCTCTTGCCGCTTTCAATGCCGCCGCACGTTCAGTTACTTTTTGTTCGGCGAAACTTTTCCTTCCGTGGCTGGGCAAACAAAGATTTTGAAATATGGTAGCAAAAGTATGTGTTAGATGGCGCAAACGATTCCCCGCCTACCCGCCTACCCGCCAGCCCCCTTAGTAGATCATCCTGGCATCGAGCTCGCGGGGGGTTAGCTAGAAGAAGAATAATCTATTTCTATTTGATTGCAAGAGGGAATGTGCTTGGGTTATTGCTCTGCTCGATGTTCAGATAATATCGCTTCTTGCTTATCGCTTAATTGTCAAGCCGAAGCTAAAGCTTTCACTTGCCAGGTGGGTGCGTCGCCCCCTTGAAGAGACGCCAAAACAAATACACGGAAATGAAAGTTAATTTGAATACATTACCAATTCTAATTACGATTTTTCAAGTGCAATAAAGCTGAGGAGCAGGAGCACGAGCAGGAGCAGGACGGCGAAAAAGACAAACACAATGACGATGGCATGAATAAAATAATATTGGCTGGACCCACCGAATCGTAGGGACACCCAGCCAGGGTGTCGGTGGCAAAACCACGAAGCATTCAAATTGGAATCCCAAAAAGCGAATAGACAACAAGCAGCAGACGGACCGAAGCGACGGACAATGCGAATCGGAATGGAAGCACGAAATGGGATGCTGGCTGACCGAAAGATTGGCTCAAATGTGCCAAGAAACAGATGGGCAAGCAGCGCAGCTTTCACAGCCAGTGACAGGACAGGAAAATGGCGAAATGGCAGCAGCAACCACGAGCCAAGAGCCACGAGCCACGAGTCGAATTTGAATAATTTCTTTCGCTTCTCTTTTGCCGCAGCTTCTGCACAAGTGGCAAATGCATTAAGGAACGGGACGAGCCAAGCTTGTAGGGATTCGCATTTCATTTTATTAAAAATTCAAATACTCTGCTTATCGCTTCAGCTGCCAGCTTAAGCCACCTGCAAGCAACACCAGGCGCCGCACACACCCCAATTGACTTTTACCCCCCATCCCCCATCCCCCATCCCCCATCCCGACAATTCTGAGCAACTTTTGCTATTCGTAGCTCGCTTATTATGCAGCATTTTTTCTCCCCGCTTTTTCTATCCACGGCCAAGGTCTGGCTGCCATCTCATATGCCTCCTGCCACGGCAAAAATTATAAATGAAAATTAAGTAAATATTATAATATATATGTACGTTGCCACCTGGCTGGAGCTGGAGCTGGAGCTGGGACTGGGGCTGGGTCAGCTTTCCCACAAGTTGGTGGCATCGAATCCATTTGGGCGCCGCCTTGGCAAATAAATGATAAGCATTACATTTGATATTCATTATTTGATAACGTGTAATAAGAAATAAAAATAAAACGCTAGCGGAAATGAAAATGCTGCCGACTCAAGCCAGCCAACAGGCAGACAGGTAGGCCGCCAGGCCTAAGGTCCTGGGACATGGTACAGGATTAAATGTTTGCCTAAGTGAAATATGTTAAATGCTATGATATGTGCGGCCGGCAGTGCTGCAGCTCGTATGCCCCGTCTACGTTTGATTTATGAGATTAAAGTGATGTTGGCGAGAATGGGGCACTAGTTGCCGTGGAATAATTCGCAAGCCAGCGAGTGGGCGGGGTCTTGGCTGTGCCACCGGAATAATTGCGATGCCAAAGGCGTTTTTATGGCCGGTTTTTTGCGAGTGCATTGACACGACCATTCATCACATTAGTGGAAGAGCCAATTCGCTTGAAAGCCCCGGTCAGACGCTAATGTCAAGTCCTTCCACTGGGAACAGGCAGGCAAGAGATAAACTCCCGTCTCATGGCATTGCAGATGACCTCAAAGGAATGCAAAGGTCCTTTAAAAGAGAAGCAAAAAAACATGGAGATTCCAGCCACAGCTAGTGATGGCAAACAAAATTCATTGATCGATTATTGAATCATGATTAATTGAAATTTCGCCATTAGGGCCCATAAAATAATCGATTATTCATTAATCAAATGATTTTTAAAATAATTTTTTAACGTAGTTTATTGCATACAAACTTATTGAATTCTCAAAATATATATGTAAGTATTTATTTATTAGGTCTAGAATTGAGAAACAATAACTTCGAAAGATTGACCAATCTATTCTTCTTTACCATAAGAGGAGCACCCACTTTAGAGAAAAGATCCTCTGCTGCTCCGTGAAAATACTCAGGAGATAGAAATGACTATTATGTGGAAAAATCGATTATGGTTTCATTTCATCACAAGTACTAGCCATGCTTCAACCTGTTTTGTGATGAAATCAATCGATGGATGCAAAGTAATCGATTATTGTGTATCATTTGTTTAAATTCGTGTCATCACTAATCACAGTATAAGTGAGAGTTTCGTTTAAAGGTTTGTTAAGCAAAAACTTTTAAATTGTCAGCATTTAGCTCAGTGCTAGACTGCTTAAAGCACAGATCGTGATGCATGCGATGCCAAGAAGTCGGCAATTGCAGATCCAGGGCATTCAACATCGCACTTAAGCTTGATTGGATTGAGGTGGGGCCTTCAGCAGCTCAAAGCGAGAGGAAGCAAAGCCTTTGGTGTAAATTGTGTCGACACACGCACAGCGGAATCGGTGAGAACTCTTCAGTTAAAGGCCACAGGTGCAACACGGCGAGGGGGACTTGTGTGTGCGCGGAGCGTGAAATTATGAGCCCTTTAACAGCAACAGCAGCCGGAGCAGCAGCAGCAGGAGTAGCAGGAGCAGCAGCCGTGGGTAACGAGCACCTCAACGACAAGCTTAAGCTGCTTAAAACAAGCCATCGGCAAGGGTAGCCAGCTACGTGGAAGGGCGGAGCGGTGGGGAGGTGGAAAGCGAAAGTGTCAAGGATGCGGCTGCCGTTTCATAGTCAAATTAAATTGCTCACTAAAACAGCGAGACGTGAAGTCGACGCTAAAGTAAAGGGATAATGTGAGCATAAAAACATTTTTAATGAAATCGAGACGACTTCCAACTGGGACAAACACGCAGACTGAAGACTGAAGACTGCCGTCGAAGTCAGCGTCTAAGAATGTAACAAGTGAGTTTTAAATTAAACGCCGACTCCTCTAGGCAGAGCAGGGGCTGGGTGCCTCAACTCATGATCTGAGGTGTGGCCAGAGGTAGCTCCACTGCTTTGTTTGCCAGTGTAATTTCTTTTGGCTGCACATTATTTTCATATCCCGCTTAAAATTTTAATTAATTTTCAGCTTGATTGCGTTTTAAAGAGGCTGCTGGCTTCTTCGCCTCTTCGTCTGCTCGGTGGGAGCGGGCTCCGGGTCCTGGGAATTTATAGTTATTGTGGTTGAGTGTGTGGGTTTCGCCGGGGTTACTGTGGCGCCCTTTGACTTTGTGTCGAGCAACAAATTTTGGTTTGCAATTATTTCGACAATTTGGACCTAAGTGGGGCCTTAATAAATTTATGATTTCCATTGGGCCAGCCGAATAAAATGAGGACCTCCGCCCTCTTACCTTTAGTGGTGTGCCTGTCCAAATTAGGATCCTTCAGGCCTGAAATGAGACGAAACGGAAACTTCTATCAGCACACAGTCTCTTTAATTGACTTTTTCTTAAAACACTTTTGTGAATATAGGATTTATATCATATCAAATTATGTGAAGGAAATCTTTTGTCTTTAGAGCTGTATCAAGAATTCCCCGATCTCTTCGCTAGAGATCGTCAGCTCATCAGCTCTAGCTAAACAAGTGCTTAACATCTAACGGGATTTTTTGAATACGCCTTTATTGTTTTCCTCGCATTCATACTGTTCTTTAAAATATAACTCTATTCTACTGTAAATATTTGAAGTCTATATGGTTGCAATCGAATAATTTCCTCTTATGGATCGTCGTATGGATCCTGTTCAAATAAATCCGTTGAAACTTTAGAAAATCAAAATTCGAATGATTATCTTTCAGTAAGATTTATATTTCATTATCATTATCATTGGCTGTAAGCCATATATCTGCAACAAGCTGTGTCGGGCGGCGAGGCCACATAATCTTAAAAGAATGGCAGCACCAGTTCAAAAGGAAGAGTGTTTGAGAAGAACATTGACAAAGGAAAAACTTACTGCTGCTTAAATGGAGTTTTAATAATCACAGTTTTGAATTGAATCTTTATATTCTTAATACTCAGTTTACCTTTTTAGCTATAATGTGCACATCATTATATACATAATATTTGTTAAATATGTATTTGCATATGTCTAAGCATACTCATTTTCTGCATCTGGAGTTCAGACAGTTAGAGCATCGCCTGGGTGGCTACTATACGCTCTACGGAAGTTACTGGCTTTTTAAGCGTTATCTAATCGTCGTGTACTTGGTGCAATGGCAGTCATTTATCTCTGTCAGTTGGTTGAAACTTATGTGGGAAACTCGGGCGACGGGTCGACACGTTAGTCGAGGACCCAAACTGGGGGCAAGACATGGACACGTTGCGTCGTTGCCCGCTAAGAAGTGGGAGCTATCAAGTGTTAATCTTAATTAATAGCTACTAATTACATACTACAAAATGACAAGACGAACGTGTCTCTGCAGCTGGCATTGAAGGTGCGCCAACAAAGCGGAGCTCCGCGGAGGTCGGAAGCATTTCGAGAGAATGGCGGACAAACAGTTCGTGAGAACGACGCATATCGAAGGAGCTGCATCTAGGAGCTGATCTATGAATTTGCTAAGCCAAGTGGTGGCGCAAATGTTATTCAAAGAGAGACGAGCAAAAGAGAACAGAGAACAAAAGATGCAAGGGAAGAGGGCAGAGGGCGACGCAGTGATACGGGCGAGGGAGTCCAGGTCCAGTCGCGTGTTTGTGCAACTTCTAATTAATTTTTCGCAAAATTCTACGCCCTAGCGGAAATGAACTTAAACTTTTAGTGCAGCGGAAGTGGAAAGTCGCTGCCAGAGTTGCATTTGCTGCAGTTGTTTCGTTTCGAGTTTCCGCCCGACCCACTCACCCTTTTAGACAGGAGGCGTGGGGATTCGCCCTATGTTGTTAGGCCTGCTCGATGAATGCAGACAAAGAAGAAGAAGAATGCACAGAAAAAGAGGAAGCAGCCGTCAAACATTATGAAAGCCACAGTTGGGCAACAGAGCTCATGGGGCTAGTCGTGGACTGTTTCTGCCCTTAAAGGGGTGTGGCACTGCATAGCATATCCGAATTTATATCTTTAAGTCGTTTATGCCATTATTAATAGACCTTATGGCGCACCACTTGAAGGCAGCTTTCGAGTTTGCGGTTTCATTTTAATTTCATTCGGCGTTTAATTAATTCCCAGTTATCGCCACAGAGCAGTCAACAGCTCGACGCCCAGCCTCCTCTGGAATGCCACCAGCCACAGCTCTAATGGCGTCTAGCCGGTCAAAGAAAATTGCACCAATGAAAGGTCTTCCACATACCGCAGACATGTCGCGGCGAGAGCTTCAGCTTAGCCCATGAACGGGACGCTAAGCAGGAGGAGGGCGAGATAATGCGGTCTGCGTTTCGGTCTGACTTTGTCTAGCTGGCATTTTTTCGACAATGGAGACCAACGCACCACTGACTCGGGCTGTCGGAGCTAGAGCTTTAAGAATTACTTGATTCAAGTCACCCCGACTATCTAGCTTCGATCATAAACTATTGAAATTAATCTCAGCTGTTTATCTGACAGGCATTCATAAAGTTTTATTGGCGCGAGCTGGGGAGCAGCGTCCCATCCAAGTTCCCCCCCTAATAAAGTGCCCATTAAAATCGTCGCCGACTTCAGTTTATATTGCTCCACAACTCCGCCCACCTCCCAGCCAGTCGCTTTGTACACAACAAATCGCGCATAATTATAGCAGAGACGTCATCAAATTTGATGTTTGCATCCTATAAACTGTCTCTGATTTGAGCAGGGGCCCTGCGAGCAGCTAGCAGGCCGGGGTTAAGGCTGCCTCTATAGGCAGTTGGGTAAATTATCACGTCATGCTTGCTGCGAGCTGCATGCAAATGCGATGAAGCGGACTCATCTCTCCCACAGCAGAGCCCAAAACATTTTATGTCATCTACGTGCTCATAACTTGCCATGCAGTTTCTTTTCCCATTTGTTTGCTTTGCGGACTGTGCAGTTGTTGAGCAAATAATTTTATTAGCTCGTGTCTGAGTACATCTAAGGGGTACTTGCTGTGCGCGTCTATTCGTCTGCGTGTAACTCCATTAATATATATACATTTATTTATGTGTGTGTGCGTTGTCGCTTCGAGTTGATTAAGTTGATTTAACTAATTTGCTGCTTGTTTAATTAGAAAAGTTGCAAATGCTTTCCTTCAATGAGTAAGCGAGTCAAAGGAATCAAAGAGCCAACGAGCCGACGAGTCACTGACCTGAAAAGTTTTATGCCACCTGCGATGCTCTCACTTTCGCTTTAACCGACTTTTTTGGGGGGTGGAAGTTGAAGCTGGGCGAGCTTCGGGACAGCTCCTTCAACTACTTTGCAGCCCGAGTGGCCCACTGTTTATCACTCGTGCAATCAATATCCAATTAATGTCCTTTCATTCAAGCAAGTTGCACATATAATTAATTAAACTGCCCTCCACATGCCGTATGGCAACATATTTTTATGCCACATCAGCATCAGCTTGCACCACTGCAACAGTGGAGTGCAGCTCCAGTGGGTTCAGTGGGTCCATTGGGAATGCAAAGCATATTCTATGCCTGGCTCACACCCGTTGCGTCTCTGGTCACTCAAGCCCACGGCAGCGCTATGCACACTCATTAACGCAACAATAAAATATGCCCCGCCCACCCGGGGCCAATGCAGGCCAATGGCCGCCCACTTGGCTCGGACAATTAATGTGACTGACACACATGGAAATATTGCATCGGCTGCGTTGTCATATTTGATTTACAGTTGCAATTTACACACTTGCGAGGCGACCCTCAACCACCGCACGCCGCACGCCGGACGCCGGACGCCGGAGGCTGGAGGCCGGAGGCTGTAGTCCACGTCACGTCAGCAGCCAGTGTCTGTTTGATGTTGTTAATTGATTTTCAAAGTCAACTTGCTGGGCCGGCAAACGTGCCCCGCGCCCCACACACACCCCCACGCCCACGCCCACTCGCCGGGCTCAGTTGCCCGAGTTCGGTTTCGCTTTTACTTCGCATTGGCGCAACGCATCGCTCAGAGATTAGCAGGGCAGTAAAATGCGTCTCCATTCGAGCGCAAGCGACATAAAACCAATCCCTTAATCCTCCACGTCCCCAATCGTTAATTCTCCAATACCCAATACCCAATACCCAATACCCAATGTCCAATGTTCGATGCCCAATGCCCAATCCGCATCCGCATCGGCAATTTACACATGGAGCTGAAGTTGGGATGCGTGTAAGTGCAGCGGAGCGCATTTGCAGCTGCAATTGCAAGTGGATTTGGATGTGGCCAGGACACTGGCAGGACGTGGTCTGTTTGTTTTATGTGCGGCCATTGTAGTGCAGCAGTTGTAGCATTTGTTGTTGTTGTTGCTGTTGTTGTTGTTGCTGCTGCCTGGCATGCGGTTCAATCAAAGCGATTTTCAATGTCCACAAAATTACGCAAAGGACAGTTTGGTAATTTGACAACGACGACGGACACATCACGGCACAGCACAGCACAGCACACAGAACACACTCGCCTGTTGTTGGTAATGAGTTTGGTTTTACTGTTTAAATTTAAACATGCATCAGCCAGCCGAATGTAACTGGAGCAGGAGCAGCAGCAGCAGGAGCAGGAGCAGGAAGAGAGGCCACCCTTCCTGATGCGGTCGACTGCAATTCTAAAGTGTATTTGCATTAAACGCTTCGTGAGCGAGGTCGGAGAACGGAGGCCGGGGACAGAAAACATGACAGTTGCATTAATTCTGATTGCGTAAATATTTTAAGTGTGCGGATTGCTGAAGGATCCGCAAAAATGTTTAGACTGAGCTCAAATAGCGCCTGTGGTGGATATATGTGATGTCCTCTGTTCCTAACGGATGTCCAAATGTCGTCTGTTGACACGTTTACTTCATAACTTTTACGGGCTTTTCTACGGGTTCAACAGACCATGAGTGTAAAGCACCTTTGCCGTCATTGAAGCTGGAGACTTGAAGACAATCTTTAACATACTAAGATCAACTGTGCTTCTCATGCTTTTCGGTCAGACATTCCGAATTTGAAATATTATTCTTAAGCTTGTGATCAAATTAGGCATTAAAGGATCCCTTATTAATGAACTTATCTATTGAATTATTTAAATCAGATAACAGGGTAACAGGTCAAAGCATTATCTAATTGAATTCATTGTATATTTGAAGAAGTATTATCCATTGCTCTCAGTTCGTAATTTCTTAGAGCCGATTAAAAAATCAATCTTGACTGATCGAATCACATTTTGCTTATGCGACGCGACGTCAACAATTTAATCCTTGAGCCTTTAGCTAAGCGAAGATCTTGGCTCAATATGGATTATTTATTGTCAAGTTAAAGCAAGCAATGCGACCTCTCAGTGCTATCGGCCTGACAGTCACATTTGAATA